AGAGCCTGAACAAAAACTCTCATTCCTAGGAGGCTGTGCTGTCCATAGGATTGGTGAGTGGGTGGATGCCCAACCTGTCATTTATTGTCACTCTAGAGACACTGCATGCAGACACCTTGACACCTCAGTATCAGATCTTTGCTTTGCAGTACCCACAGCTTATCTGTTTAACTTCATTGAATTACTAGTATTCAGCAATGCTTATGGGCAACACCATTGCTAGCAGAAGACAGCGGCTACCAGCATATCAAAAACTTTAAACATCGCAGGACTCAAGTTTTAATCTCTAGTTAAAGGAACTAGAGATGAGCGAATTATTCAAAAATTCGGTTCGGCTGATTCGCCGAATTCGCGGAAAAATTCGCTTCGAGCCGAATATATTCGCTGTGAATTTAACTTATAAAAAGGGTGTTTCTAGGCTTCTGAGAGCCTTTATATTAGTGCAGAACACTGTACCTTTAATTTAAATGCCCTTGGAGTCTGCTGGGGAAGAGAAATAATACTGTCAGTCAGTATGACATGCAGATGAGTGCCGTCGATCTTAGAATCACCGCACACTTCACTCATTTGGGCAGTCACGGGGCCAAAACCAGAGTGTGGAGCCACAGTGTGGCGGTGGAGGCAGCAGCAATGGGAGGCCATACAGCACCCTATGACAAAATGGAACCCACCAGCAGTGTGAGGAGACCTGAAAGTGGCACATGGCAGAGTGTGGCGATGGAGACAGCAGCAATGGGAGGCCGTACAGGGACCCATGACACACTCTGGACCTGGCAGCAGCATGAGGAGGCGGTACAGGGGCCCATGACAGATTACGGGCCTGGCAGCAGCATGAGGAGTCGGTACGGGGGCCCATGGCAGATTACGGGCCTGGCAGCAGCATGAGGAGGCGGTACAGGGGCCCATGGCAGAGTGGCGGAGCGTAAGCAGCTAAAATTGAAGGCCATACAGAGGCCTATGTTAAAAAGTCCCCCCAGCAGCAGCGTGGGGAGACGACTATCAAGAGTCCAATGGCAGAGTGGCGGAGCAGAAGCAGCTTCAATTGAAGGCCATACACAGGCCTAGGTTTAAAAGTCCCTCACAGTTAATTCCAATAACGAACTCTACTCCTCCGTGCAATCTACTTACGAGACCCTGGGCAGGTCTGGGTCCAATTTGTGGTAGAGACTGGTTTTGTTCAGCCATGCTTGAGCGAGTAATAACAGGTCTGTGCTGCCCTTTGGTGTCTGGCTTAATGCGCACAACACTGAACGTCCCAGCGTTTGTCAACGATTTGCCGTTAAGTGATGCAAACCCGCTGAACCACGTTCATGAGGAGCCGGTACAGGGGGCCATGAATCAGTATGGACCTGGCAGCAGCGTGAGCAGACGACAGAGGCACATGGCGCAGGGTGGCGGTGTAGGCAGCATTATTCTGAAGCCATACACAGGCCTAGGTTAAAAAGCGGAAGCCGTCAGCAGCGTGAGCAGACGACAGAGACACATGGCGCAGGGTGGCGGTGGATGCAGCAGTATTCAGAAGCCAAACACAGGCCTCGGTTAAAAAGCGGAAGCCGTCAGCAGCGTGAGCAGACGACAGAGGCACATGGCGCAGGGTGGCGGTGGAGGCAGCAGCAATGGAAGGCCATACAGCACCCTATCACAAAATGGAACCCACCAACAGTGTAAGGAGACCTGAAAGTGGCACATGGCAGAGTCTGGCGATGAAGTCAGCAGCAATGGGAGGCCGTACAGGGACCCATGACACACTCTGGACCTGGCAGCAGCAAGAGGAGGCGGTACAGGGGCCCATGGCAGAGTGGCGAAGCGTAAACAGCTTAAATTGAAGGCCATACAGAGGCCTACAGTTGCAAGAAAAAGTATGTGAACCCCTTGGGATTACGTGGAGTTTTGCATGAATTGGGCATAAAATGTGCTCTGAACGTCATCTAAGTCACAACAATAGAAGAACACAGTCTGCTGAACATAATACTACACAAACATTAGATGTTGCCATGGTTTAATTGCACATAACATGTAAACATTCACAGTGCAGGGAGCAAAAAGTATGTGAACCTTTGGACTTAATAACTGGTTGACCCTCCTTTGACAGCAATAACCTCAACCAAACATTTCCTGTAGTTGCAGATCAGACCTGCACAATGATTTGGAGTAATTTTGCACCACTCTTCTTCACAAAACTGTTTCAGTGTAGCAATATTTTGGGATGTCTGGTTTGAATCGCTCTCTTAAGGTCATACCACAGCATTTCAATCGGGTTGAGGTCAGGACTCTGACTGGGCCACTCCAGAAGGCTGTATTCTGTGCTGTTGCAGCCATTGTTTTGTTGAATTACTTGCATGCTTTGGGTCATTGTCCTGTTGCATCACCCATCCTCTGCGGAGCTTCAGTTGGCGGACAGATGGTCGTACGTTTTCCTGCAAAATGTCTTGATAAACTCTGGAATTCATTTTCCCATCAATGACAACAATCCGCTCTGGCCCTGAGGCAGCAAAGCAGCCCCAAACCATGATGCTCCCTCTGCCATGTTTTACAGTGGGGATGAGGTTTTGATGTTGGTGTGCTGTGCCTTTTTTTCTCCACACATAGTGTTGTGTGTTCTTCCCAAACAACTCAATCTTGCTTTCATCTGTCCACAGTATATTTTACTAGAAGTGCTGTGGAACATCCAGGTGCTCTTTTGCAAACTTAAAATGTGCTGCAATATTCTTTTTGGACAGCAATGGCTTCCTCCGTGGTGTCCTCTCCTTGTACTCCATTCTTGTTTAATGTTTTCCTTATTGTAGATGTGTCAACAAAAATGTTAGCATGTGCCAGAGATTTCTGTAGGTCTTTAGCTGACACTCTGGGATTCTTCTTTACCTCATGCAGCATTCTGCGCTGTGGTCTTGCAGTCATTTTTACAGGACGACGACGCCTAGGGAGAGTAGCAACAGTGCTAAACTTTCTTTATTTGTAGACAGCCTGTCTTACCGTGGACACATGAACATCAAGGCTTTTGGAGATACTTTTGTAACCCTTTCCAGCTTCATGCAAGTCAACAATTCTTGATCGTAGGTCTTCTGAGAGCTCTTTTCTGCGAGGCATGGTTCACATCAGACAGTGCTTCTTGAAATCAGTAAACCAAAACAGGTGTGTGTTTTTTAAGAGCAGGACAGCTTTCAGCAAAACATCATCCAATATCATCACACTGATTGGAGTCATGGTTGGCTCACTCCTGGCTCCAATTAGCTCTGGGAGAAGTCATTAAGCTAGGGCCTCACATACTCTTTCCTCCCTGCACTGTGAATGTTTGCATGTTATGTGCAATTAAACCATGGCAACATCTAATGTTTGTGTAGTGTTATGTTCAGCAGACTGTGTTTGTCAGGGCTCCAGGTATGACCAGAGATGTGTGACTGACGCAGGGAAACGCAGACTTCAGATATGGGATAAACAATATAATTTATTAACACTAACAATACAAACATAAACGCAGTGCAATACTAAACATAATACAGTGCAAACAAACCAAACAACCACCCACAGATAACAGTACATACAAGCAAGCGTCGTCAGGCAGGCTGGGTCAATATCAATTGGGCAGGTAGGTACAGGGGGAGCAAGCGGAGAATGGTCGGGGTTACAGGCCAGGTTCAGCAGGTAGCAAGCAGCGTAGTACAGAGGGTCAAGCAGAGGGATGGTCAGGGTCACAAGCCAGGGATCAGAACAGGTAGCAAGCAGCGTAGTACAGAGGGTCAGGCAGAGGGATGGTCAGGGTCACAAGCCAGGGATCAGGACAGGTAGCAAGCAGCGTAGTACAGAGGGTCAGCAAAGGAACAGAAACAGGATGCAGGACAGATACAGGGCCCAGGACAAACACACACCAAGACAGAGTCTGTGGGTCTGGCCATCCCTTAAATACCCCCAGCATAATCAGTTCCAGGTGTTAGCTGGCTGCAAAGTTGAGTCTCTGATTGCTGGGAGCACCCGCTGGCCAGCCCTGGTACTGCAGATCAAAAGGCAGGTGAGTCCCACCATTGCTGGCCAGTCCATTCCTGACAGTACCCCCCCCTCAAGGAGCGGCCTCAGGACGCTCCAAACAGTCCTAGCTGGGAAAAATGTTCCACCGCCCGGGTCTGGTAACTGGCGGGATATCAAAGACTGGCACACCTGGCAGGACTCCGGGCAGTGGTACACCAGGCAGAGGCACATCGGGCTGGACACCGGGCAGAGGCACATTGGGCTGGACTCCGGGCAGAAGCACATCGGGCAGAGGCACACCGGGCTGGACTCCGGGCAGAGGCACACGGGCAGAGGCACATCGGGCAGAGGCACATCGGGCTGGACTCCAGGCAGAGGCACATCGGGCTGGACTCCGGGCAGAGGCACATCGGGCTGGACTCCGGGCAGAGGCACATCGGGCTGGACTCCGGGCAGAGGCACATCGGGCTGGACTCCGGGCAGAGGCACATCGGGCTGGACTCCGGGCAGAGGCACATCGGGCAGGACACCGGGCAGAGGCACATCGGGCAGGACTCCGGGCAGAGGCACATCGGGCTGGACTCCGGGCAGAGGCACATCGGGCTGGACTCCGGGCAGAGGCACATCGGATTACCAGGCGAAGCAGCACCGGGCGGCAGCGCAGGCACGGGCCCCGGGCGGAGCAGCAGGCACCGGGCCCCCGGGCGGAGCAGCAGGCACCGGGCCCCCGGCGGAGCAGCAGGCACCGGGCCCCCGGGCGGAGCAGCAGGCACTGGGCCCCCGGGTGGGGCGACACGGCATCGGGCCCCCGGCGGGGGCGACCGGCATCGGGCCCCCAGGCGGGGCGACGGGCGCCGGGCCCCAGGAGGGGCGACAGGCATCGGGCCCCCAGGCGGGGCGACAGGCATCGGGCCCCCAGGCGGGGCGACAGGCATCGGGCCCCCAGGTGGTGTGACAGGTCTCGGGCCCTCAGGCGGAGCGGCGGGGGCCGGACCCCCCAGGTGGAGCGACAGGTCTCGGGCCCCCTCAGGCGGAGCGGCGGGCCGGACCCCCAGGTGGAGCGACAGGTCTCGGGCCCTCAGGCGGAGCGGCGGGCGCCGGACCCCCAGGTGGAGCGACAGGTCTCGGGCCCCCAGGCGGGAGCAACAGGTCTCGGGCCCTCAGGCGGAGCGGCGGGCGCCGGACCCCCAGGTGGAGCGACAGGTCTCGGGCCCCCAGGCGGAGCGACAGGTCTCGGGCCCTCAGGCGGAGCGGACGGGCGCCGGACCCCCAGGTGGAGCGACAGGTCTCGGGCCCTCAGGCGGAGCAGGCAGCGGGCACCCAGGCGGACCCCCAGGTGGAGCGACAGGTCTCGGGCCCCCCCGGAGCGACAGGTCGGGCAGGCGGAGCGACGGGCGCCGGACCCCCAGGCAGTGGAGCGACAGGTCTCGGGCCCTCAGGCGGAGCGGCGGGCGCCGGACCCCCAGGTGGAGCGACAGGTCTCGGGCCCCCAGGCGGAGCGACAGGTCTCAGGCCCCAGGCGGAGCGGCGGGCGCCGGACCCCCAGGTGGAGCGACAGGTCTCGGGGCCCTCAGGCGGAGCGGCGGGCGCCGGACCCCCAGGTGGAGCGACAGGTCTCGGGCCCCCAGGCGGAGCGACAGGTCGGTCACCACATACGGGCCCCAGGCGGAGCGGCGGGCGCCGGACCCCCAGGTGGAGCGGACAGGTCTCGGCCCTCAGGCGGAGCGGCGGGCGCCGGACCCCCAGGTGGAGCGGGACAGGTCTCGGGCCCTCAGGCCCCAGGACCCCCAGGTGGAGCGACAGGTCTCGGGCCTCAGGCGAGACATGGCGGCAGGCGCCGTAACCCCAGGGCAGCGGCAGGCGCCTCACCCCAGGTGGAGCAACAGGTCTCGGGCCCTCAGGCAGAGCGGCGGGGCGCCGAGTCATCTGGCACGACAGTGGGCTCCGAGTCAACTGGCATGACCGCTGGCACTGGGTCAGACATTGGATCGTCTGGCTGGACAGCGGGCATCGGGTCACCCGGCATCAGGTCATTTGGCTCGACCGCGGGCACCGCATCATCTGGCAAGGCAGTGGGCTCCGAGTCAACTGGTATGACCGCGGGCACTGGGGTTCAGACATTGAATCGTCTGACTGGACAGCGGGCATCGGGTCACCAGGCATCAGGTCATTTGGCTCAACAGCGGGCACCGCGTCATCTGGCAAGGCAGTGGCTCCGAGTCAACTGGTATGACGCGGGCACTGGGTCAGACATTGGATCGTCTTGACTGGACAGCGGGCATCGGGTCACCAGGCATCAGGTCATTTGGCTCAACAGCGGGCACCGCGTCATCTGGCAAGGCAGTGGGCTCCGAATCAACAGGCACGACAGTGGGCACCGGGTCATCAGGTACCGGATTGTCTGGCTCGACAGGGGCACTGGGTCACAGGCATCAGGTCATTTGGCTTGCCAGCGGCACCGCGTCATCTGGCAAGGCAGTGGGCACCGGGTCACCAGGCATTGGATCGTCTGGCTCGACAGCGGGCATCGGGTCACCAGGTATGACAGCGGGCACTGGGTCACCAGGGCATCAGGTCATTTGGCTCGCCAGCGGGCACCGCGTCATCTGGCAAGGCAGTGGGCACCGAGTCACCAGGTACGACAGCGGGCTCTGAGTCAATTGGCACGACAGCGAGCACCGGATCAGGTACCGGATCATCTGGATCAACAGCGGGCATCGAGTCAACTGGCCTAATAGGATCATCAGGCTGGATCAGTTTCATCATGCTGGGTAGAGGCATCTGGACTCGAATGCTCGGCGTCCCTGGCGAGTAGAGGGGGCAGGCCGAGTAGGCTTGCAGGCCGAGTAGAGGCATCAGGCCGAGTAGAGGCTTCAGGCCGAGTAGAGGCATCAGGCGATAGCAGTAGCCGAGAGTAGCAGGGCATGCAAGGCCGAGGTAGAGGATTTAAGGCCGAGAGTAGTAGGATTCAGGCGAGTAGAGGCTTCTAGGCCGAGTATAGAGGCTTCAGGCTGAACCACGAAGGCAAGGTATTCACACACAGTTTGGATACTGTCAGGATGGTATTGGTTTTTTTTTCGTTGGAAAGAATTTTCGCTTTTTTCTGGTTTTAAATTACTGGAGCAGTAGCACGTAAACGCAGGTTCTGCAAACGAAAGTGGAGCAGCTGGAGACAGAGAAGAACTGGAGGATGGAACAGGAAGAGGGAAGCAGTTGCCTACAGAAGAGGCTTTATTACAGGGTTTAAAGGCAGGATAGTGGTGCAGCGAGTGGGAACAGGGTACTTGACATGTGGGTAGATAGCCAAGTAATACTGGGGGTCTGTAAACTGGAGGAGGCTGTTGGGAATACAGGAGAAGAGTTCGAAGCAGGACTGGGTTTTTGGTAAAGCTGAACTGAGGCTGGGTGCAACAAGTCTGTCCATGTCGGCAGTAAGTTAGGGGTTGAACAAAGCTGTGCTTACACAAAGCCTTGTCTGGTCAACTGACTGGCACTGCTGATTATATACAAACTCAATAGGCCCCTGATTCACTATTGGGCTGTGGGAGAATATTTTATGGGCTTAAGCCCAATTTTCATGGGCGAGTCCGTCATTTTTTACCCTGCAAGCCTAATTCACTAATGATTCAGAGCCCATAATGCAGATGCCCAATCTCATTCACAAAGAGACACACGCCCGACAATCAGGACTCACAAAACAGATCTTGCTAAGAAGCACGTCTAAAACCATGGACAAATACACTGTATAGTGATACATGTACACTTAGAAATTTGACTTTGTGCCAAATATCAGGGAGCTATCACTTATAAACAATATCATGCTATTCAAAAAAAATAACAAATGATGTTACAAAATCGTTATTATTCAAGGAAATCGATCACAGAAAAAAAATCTTAGGAAAGCCCGTGCAGTGTCCTTTGGCAGATACCACTGAGCAATGTGCAGAAACACAATTGTAGACTTCTGCCATGGGCGTTTGCTTTTTAGCCACTGAACTAAGAGTGAATATGATTGTTGGGATTCCTCTGAGAGCCGGCACTTCGCTCGCGATATTGTGTTTAATTAAACATGCACTCGGCAATATCTACATGTTAATCTAACTTGTAGGTCCGGAGTTCCATAGTGGGATTCTCGATTTTTGACTGTTCTTATATAGGTATGTGTGGCGGGACCAGCCAGGGCACACATCATCCTCCGCCCCCTTTCCTATTTGTAGAAGATGTCACCTCCTGTCTCTCCGCTGAGGCTAACATAGCTCCGAATGCAGGAGACAGTGTTGACATTTTCTTTATATTAGCTATGGGGCGGGGCCAGCCGGGGAACATCATCCGGAGAGACCCTACCCATGTCACATCATGCTGTTCCCCTGGCCCCAGCCCAAATCTATATAATGAAATTCAGACTGTCTCCTGCATTCAGCTAAGTTAGCTCTCAGCGGAGAGACAGGGTGACATTTCTCAAATAGGTAAGGGGCGGGGATGATGTGCCCGGCTGGCCCCGCCCCAAACCTATATAAGAACTGTCAGCAAGCCTCTTCTTCCCATGGCTGGAAGCCTCCGACGGAGCGGAAACCTTTTATTTTTTTCTTTTTTCGGGTCCCTGCCGCCGCCGCCGCGCCGCCGGATTGACGTTGGATCTACTTGGGGGACTTGTTTTTTAAAAAAGGACTTGTCAAAGACCGTACTGTTTTTTTTTTACCCAACTTGTTTTTTTTTGGAAAAGGAGTCTGCGGGACCATGTACCCCAGACTTTCACTAGGGGGGGGGGCCGGGATCTGGGGGCCCCCTTTTAAAAGGGGGGATCCAATTTTGATAAAACCCCCCCCCCCGCAGACCCCCACAAACCCCCGGGCCCGGGTTTTTGGGGGGAAAGGCCCTTGTCCCATCACATGGGGACAAGGTGTTTTGGGGGGGGGGGCCCCCCTGCCTCAAAAGCACCCCCCCCATGTTGAGGGCATGTGGCTGGTATTTCGGGGGGGTGGGGCCCCTTCCCCGTCCC